TATGATTTAGACGACCCATTTTTGTTGTTTCATTTTGCCTCAGGCAACTTTATCAATTCAACACGGACAAAACATGCAGTTTTACTGAACCTGAAAACAGCCTATCATTCAGTTTCAAAAAATTGTTGTGGCCGATCTATTGAACGGAAGTCGAGTAACTGAATCCTGCAACATGGGACAAAATAAGCATGCATACATATAGTGATTGCAAGGGAAGAAGAGCCAACTTACTCGTGCAGTCGCAGCGAAGCTGAATCGGACCTGTGGCATGTTCCCGCACGCCCGCAGTTCAGCAAGACGACGACGGCGACGAGCATGCGATAGTGGATGGCGAAGGCGGTCGCCATTGTCGCGGCCTCATCATCTCACGCCACCGCTTCCTGGATCAGCGCCGCCGCCACCAACGCTGTCACCACCACCGTCGCCTCTCCGTCCCACACTACCACCGCAGTTGCCTGGGACCGGCGCCTCCCACACTGATCCGCACCGCCTCCTACGGCCGCCGAGTAGATCCTTCACTAGATCCGCGCCGCTGCCTCGTGAGCCCGCCGGCCACCGCGTCAGGGAGCTGCTGGCTGTGCGAGGGAAGGGTGGGCGGCGCGAGCATCGAGGGAGGCCTGGGAAGTGAGGGGTGGGCGGCGTGAGGGAGGCGGCGGGCGGGCGGCTAGCCGGCCGAGTTGTGGCAAGAGGGAGGCGGGTGGCGCTGGGGGCCTGGCGGAGAGGCCTGCGTGCGGCATGCGGAATTGCGGATAAGGTGTGGGGGGAAGCCGGGGAGGGGCATGTGGGAGTTTTTTTTTTTTGCCGGTGATTTTGTTTTTGCGCGCTGGAGGATTCGTTGCATGCGCGCGGAATGAAATTTTTAGAGGTGGGAGGTGCTATTTCAGGCATATGCTCCATCGACACGAGATCTTGCGCACTAATTTTTTCCTGATATAATTTGTTTTGTGCAAATGCCGATAAAAAATATTTGAAGCAGCAGAAAAGATATTTTTCTAGTCAGTGGACCAACCACATAGGGAAATTGAATTTCACAGTATAGTTGAACTTCACAATATAGTATGTGGAGTTGAGCTTAGCATGTGAAAAAATAAATAAAAATTATGATGATTGTCTATTAGCATGCCACGGTAAATTGCAGTTCGTCATAACATGGAAATCCCTCCGTTTACGACGATTTCTACTAGATCTTAGTGACGGACACATAATTTTCGTCGTAAAATCATGCTCCCACCAAAAAAACGTCATAAAACAGAATGACTTAGCGACAAATTAGCCATTGTCATGAGAAAATCGTCGTAGAAGGTCATATCTCTTGTAGTGCGTATCCCCTTTAATAGTTCAAAGGGTCAGCCTTACAAGTCAGAGAGAGAAGGTGTACGGGCGCTGCCTAGTCTTGTCGTTGCCCACGTCGTCAGGTACGGGATGGCCATCGCCCTCCGTCCCTGTTCATGCTCACGTCGTCGGGTACGGGATAGCCATCGCCCTCCATCCCTGTTCATGATCTGTCGCGTCGGACAGGTAGCACAGTGTCCGCCTAACATGGCACAGCGGCACTGTGCGATGTGTGTGCGGGGCATGGAGAGGTACGGTCCTCTACACGGCGGTTGACCTGAGTGTTTTCCCTTATCTGCTCCACCTGCTCCCCGGACCCACACCGAGCGGGCGTCCCCGGTCGATTGTCCCGGTTGGTCCCGACCGTATCGGTCGGGAAGGAGCGGTGTGCGTAGGTCCAACATATCCCGGTCGGGGCACTTTCGGTCGGAGTTGGACGTGGTCTTGCCCCCGACTAGGCCTCTGGATGAGGCGCCGACCAGTCTCTGGCCGGAGGAGCGGTCGGTGGCCGGATCGTGGTCTCGGCTTTGTCGTCGTGAGTATATCTGGTCAGCCAGTGCGCGCATCGTTATTGCGCGCCGTCTGCTTTGGGCCGAAAGTGTTGCGAAAAAAGTGGGCCCATTTGGTACCCCGGGTCTATGGACGGCAAACCGGGTCTATAAGCCGCTTGTCTTTGATTTGTCTGGTGATTTGTTGTGAGAGAAAAACGGTGTACCATGGGCGATAAAGTTTATTTGATAAGTTCAAGCGAACAGGCTAACCATAGACTAATTAGTAATCAAAGCTAGATTTTAATATATAATCATAGAAAACAAGTGTAGAATTTGCTAACCTTGGGAGAAAAGACATGGAAGATGTTGATGCTTCAACGATAGAAGAGGACAACGCTTCGTCAATTAGGGGCATAATAGACCATTTGCATGGAAACAATCCATTCCTGAAGCTGAAGCTAGGCTGTGTGCCAAACGGTACCATCTGCTCCACAAACTCCATAGTGGAGCTGCTACGGAGTTGCTGGAGCGGAGCTGCAAAAACTGAAACAACGCGGTCCCAAACATGCCCATAATGTATAAGACGGTCCAAGCTTCAAATTTTTAGAAGAGGACGAAGGAACTGATGAAAACTGGTAGATTCTATTGAGAAATGAAGCTTATCAAAGAAATTAAATACTATGTTGATTTGGCGTCCTGAGAAATTTACAACTACTTGATAGGAAAGGAAAAAAAGATGAAATAAAGATAACAATAGTTTTAAACCAAGAAATTGATTGGCTGATATATGGTTGTCCGTACCGGTGATGTAATTTAGATGGATAAAGGGATGACTAATGTAATCAAACAAAAAACTATTTACAAAAGTTAATTTAAGAAAAATCCAAATGTTATATGATGAAAAGAAAAATCTAGCTAGACCCGTGTTATTTGCGCGGGCCTCCCTGCTAGTTCTAACGACAACACAAATGTTCTCGTGGCCCTGAAAAATAAGAAAAAAGAAATATGGAGACGAGGCACACCATGTTCAGACAGCGACAACGTTGGCGTGTCGTGTAGAGCGGCAAAATAGAAGTTGCCCTGCAGAGCAGGCAGGCGTTGTTCTCCCGCAGCCACTTGGCAAGTTGGTGACGCAGGGACATGTACCTGTAGACTGCAGGGGAGGAGACCAAATTTGTGGTTCTCGAAACTGGTGTGAAGCTGTGAGCTCTGTTTTTTCTTTGAAAAAATCAGCTCTGATTTTGGTATTTGTTTGTTTGTATTTCACAAACTGTACACGGTTTGAAATTGAATTAGGTATTAATTATGCTCCTGATACAATGCAATGGATTAGCAGGGCATATATCCCTGGAGCAAGAACAAATTAAGGATGCAAGACATGACATGTATAGTCATGATAAACAGTATTTGACGTTGGGCCAAATCCCAATAACTTAATCGGTCACAAACTCAAAAATACAAGTACATGACTAATGACTTGAAAGTACAATACATATGCGAAGTGGATGATAAGGGAACAAAATTCGTGAAGCTAAGGCCGGCCGGATAGATAAAATGAAAACCAAAATGGACATGACCCAACCACAGTCAAAAAGGCTTGAATACACACATGAGAAACACGAACTGGATGACCTACACCAAATAATATTGCAAATCAAAACACATGAAGCCAGGGCGGACAGATAAAACGAAATAGCAAAATGGGCCTGACGACCCAACATCACAGCCGAAGGCTTCAGTACACATGAGTAATAAGCAGCGCAATAGCTTGATTACAGACAACATGTTCAACACACAGCTAGGTTGAATAGTACATGTTCAACAAATCAAGCCAATCCATGAGGCCAACATCGGGTCCAACACATAGTTGACAAACTGAAAATCTGAAACACAACATAAGAAGTTCAACACTACTGGTTCGGAACATGGTCACATAAGCCCAAGCATGATTCACCAGATTCAATAAAAGGTAAGTATGTAGCTAAACACAAAAGCACAAGCTGACCATTACTGTGCTCATTGCAAAGCTAGAAGGATCAAGTTTCTTTGCTTCTAACGGCCACTGCGGGCCTGTGAAATAGCCTTAATTTTAGGTTGCTTCTTCCTTGGACCTTTACACTTGCACTGTGCATGCATAACAATAAAAAACAGGAATTCTCTCAGCAAAGAAACAGCTATGCTGATCCAAAAATAGAACATGTAGTAGAGATTACCTTATTGATCATGATCCTCCAGAAGTTGATTTCCTTTTTCGTTCGTTGGAGGTTCCGAAGTTTGTCTATGGTGAGAAGGAAACTAATTAGAAAAGAAAGCTAGATTTCATATATAATCATAGAAAACAAGTGTATAATTGCTAACCTTGGTAGAAAAGACATGGAAGATGTTGATGCTTCATCAATACAAGAGGACAATGCTTCCGTGAGTTGGTGCTTTGGTGGTCCTCTGCATAATAAGCAAACAAAACCCATGAAGTTAAGCTCGATAGAATAAACTGACAAAATCAAAAACCAAAATTTGTAGGACCTAACATCACATCAGTTGGAGGGTTGAGTACAAAATATTATAACAAGCTGGATGTATTAGCATCCTACGCCTAGCTAGCTGTGTAGCCCGCATATTGCTTACTCTGTGGTAGTGGAAGCAGGCAGCGGATGCCATTCCCCTGTTGCCAGCTTCAGGATGCCGGCATTGGACAGCAATGCCCAGAGGTGGGTCACAAAGTCCCCGCGCTTTGGCCGGTGCTCGATGTGTGCCTCCGCGTTGTCGGACGGCGCGACGTACAGGATTGTTTCCGCCCAGAACTCTGCAATTACCCTCCCGCGTACCTTGTCGTCATTGAGCATCTCAAGTTGTCGTCCCAGCTCAACACCCTTTTGAAAGGTCGTCAGAGAAGAATATCATTACTAAATCGGTTCCAAAAAATAGAGTTCTTTCATTAAAAAAAGAAGTGTTGCCACTTTTTCATCACTAACTAATCTAAAAAACATGATATGCGAATAATCAATCCCGAGAGAGATATTATAAACAAAACGTTAATACTTACTAAAATCCATAATTCCCAAATCAAATTTGTTGCTAATTCAATGTACTTAATTTGGCACGTATATATGTCGACGTGGCGACACGTGTACATACATGCATATGGAACAGTTCGATGAGCTGCTGGGCAAAGGCGCCATGAAGTCGGTGTACCGGGGCTTCGACGAGGAGCGGGGCGTGGAGGTGGCGTGGAACCAGGCGAGCCCCGCCGACGTGCTCCGTTCGCCGGACGCCGTGCAGCACATGTACTCGGAGGTGCAGCTGCTGAGCTCGCTCCGGCACGACGGCATCATCGGCTTCCACGCCTCGTGGGTGGACGTGCCGGGCCGCAGCTCCAACTTCATCACGGAGCTCTTCTCCTCCGGCACGCTGCGCTCCTACCGGCTCCGGTACCCTCGGGTGAGCCTCCGCGCCGTCTGGTCGTGGGCGCGGCAGCTGCTCGGCGGCCTGGCCTACCTCCACGCGCGCGACCCACCGGTGATCCACCCTCTCGTCGTACTCCGCGGCCTGTACAGCGTCACCGGTGATCCCGAGATGTACGACGAGGAGTACGACGAGAGGGTGGACGTGTACGCGTTCGGGATGTGCATGCTGGAGATGCTCACCGTCGAGTACCCGTACAGCGAGTGCTCTAACCCGGCGCAGATCTACAAGAAGGTCACCGCCGGCAGGCTCCCCGACGCGTTCTACCGGGTGGAAGACGACGACGCGCGCAGGTTCATTGGACGCTGCCTCGTCCCCGTCGCCAGCCGCCCGTCCGCCACAGAGCTGTTGCTGGACCCTTTTCTCCTTGATCACCACCACCATGTTGCTGCTGCTGGCACGGTGCCAGTGCCGCCGCCACCGTTGCCAGCTGCTGTTGCCGACGCCGGCGCTCCGCCGCCCTCGACGTGTAGTAGCTCCGCCGACGATGTCGTCTCGGCGTCATCGTTGTTGGACGATGACGACGTGGAGCATCATCAGGAGCCACAACATCCGCCACCGCCGCCGCCACCGCCCAGGAACGTCATGACCATCACCGGGAAGCTGAACGCGGAGGAGGACACGATCTTCCTGAAAGTACAGATCGCCGACGAGGCGACAGGGCACGCGCGCAACATCTACTTCCCGTTCGACATGGCGAGCGACACGGCGGCGGAGGTGGCGCAGGAGATGGTGAAGGAGCTGGACATCACGGACCGGGACGCGTCGGAGATCGCCGCCATGATCCAGCAGGAGATCGGCAGGCTGCTGCCGGGGCGAGCGCAGCAGCAGCACGAGTACACGTACGCGGAACGTGACGACGACGACGACGAAAACGACGAGGAGCGGCCTCCGCCCTTCTGCTGCTACCTCTCCTCATCTCCCGCCTCCTCACATGGCTCTCACTGCGGGGTGGGGCCTTACGCCTCCGGAGGATTCTCTGGTCCACGTGGCGGTGGCTGGTCCAAAGGTAACCTTAGCTACAAATTTCCTTTTATAAATTGATTGGTTCTTTTTTTTAAAAGTTACAAATTTGAGGGTATTTGTTTTGAAAACTGGATTTTTTCCCTATAAAAATATGCAAATATGACGCCACTAGAGGGAGTAGTCGAGTAGAGGTACATTTTGAGATTGTTGTGTGCCTGATCTTGAATTCTTTAGGCCCAATCAAGGTTTAGTAAGGTTTTGTCGAAACGTATCAAAATGCACATGTCATACGTGTATGTATGACATATCCTAGGGCATCTTTGTTCAACTGCTATTGTACATATGTGGCCGCCTACGTGTAGTGCGTGACGTTGGCAACCGATGAATTGGACCTGCGCCGAAATGTTGATTATGGCGCCTCTCTGGTTCATGGTCCTCTTCATTTTTCTTTTGGGACCGCATGCAGCAGTCGTACCACCGTACGTGCAGGCCGGACAATTTTGACACTATGCAAGGCATCAACGGTCCCCAAATGCTTGCCGACATGTGTGTTTGTTCCTTGTCCACGTAGGCATGACCATGACTTATATTTCGCGTTGTGACGATATATAGTCCATTCATTTCAAATTATAAGTTATTTTATTTTTTTTTCATACATAACATCTGTTTTGTTCTTTATCCACAGCATGACCACAATTTATGTTTGTGTTATGGTGCTATATAGTCCCTTTATTTTAAATTATAAGTGGTTCTAAAATATTTAGGGCAAAGTGGCCACCGCACGGCCTCCTCCATACGCGCACATGCACGCGCACTCCTTACCCACGTGCACGCGTTTCCTTCTCCCCCCCCGCTGCAGCGGGGTTCAAACTCTTTCCATGTGACCATTTGGTTCCCAAACCTTTGGTAGTGGGTTTGGCGCCCGGTGATGCTTGGCGAGGTGGGTCCTCCTCCTCCTGGATCTACAAGTTAGGATTCCGACAGTTTTCTCCTTTCTCTCTCCCTCTCATCTTCCCCAACACGGTGAGCTTCTCTTCTCTCTTCTTCCTCACTGGCAACCTTAGAAGAGAAGGGGTTTGGAGGGGAAGGAAGGCCGGCTAGGCGGTGGGGATGGCTGGAGGCCACTGCAGCTGACGACAGTGGAGGCAGTCGAGCCAGGTTGCACTAGTAGAGAACAGACCTTTGATCCTCGGCCAAAATGGGCTCTAGTCCCGGCATTTTTTGCGCCCGGGACTAGAGAGACCTTTAGTCCCGGTTGGTGGATCCAACCGGGACTAAAGGTCCCTGCCCAACGGCTACTGCGCCAGACAGAGGTGGCAGGGACCTTTAGTCCCGGTTGGAGCCACTAACCGGGACTAAAGGTAGACTTTTACTCCCGGTTGGTGGCTCCAACCAGGAGTAAAGGTCTACTCCCGGGCCGTGGCTGCGTCGGGGGTTGGAAAGTTACCTTTAGTCCCGGTTGGAGCCACCAACCGGGACTAAAGGTCCCCCCTTTATATCCTGGCCGTCTCCTTCTTCCTCCCCGAGCCCGAGCTCAACACATTTTGAAGCTCACTGCACTAGTGTTCTTGCTTTCTCCCTCCATTGTTCCTCCATCCATTCTTCGATTCCTCCGTCAATTTCTTCGATTCCTCCATCGATTCTTCAGTTGTAAAGGTTACCAATCTCATACTCTCATTTTTCATCATTGTCTTATCTCATTTTGTTCACTATATATATATGGTTCTTTATTGTGGTTTTTTTCATTTGTAAGCAATTTGAGCTCAAAATCACTTCAAGCTTGCATATTTACATGAAAGAAGGTTAAAGTAGCTAGTTGAACTTGCGGACCGTGTTCATCTCGGCGAGCATGTTCTCTGCCGAGCGGTAACGGACGTCAAGGAGGAGCTTTGATTCTACGAGGGAGAGCGGCAATGGTCGTGGAAGACCGTGTTCCCTTCCTCGTAGAATCAGAGCTCTTCCGTGGCCAAGCACGGTGCCGTCCGGTGGAGAAATGCTCGCCGAGATGATTACGTAAGCAAGGTCAACTAGTACGGATGGTTATTTATTCACACGTCCTGATATCGTCGCAGTAGTCTGTCAATCACCGTACCCAAACGTAGTATATATATAAATATAAACGATAATCGATTGTTATGTGTGTACACTACCATTCTTCTATTAATTTGTGGAAATATCATGTGAATTACTTACCTGCCACAGTAAAAGACGAGAACACAATGACCATGACCACGGCCATGAAAAATGCCAACGACACAACACTAGCAACTTTCTCGGCAAGTAGAGTAGTATTAAACGCTCTGGAAACCATTAAACTTCAAGCTTGCATATTTACATGAAGGAAGGTTAAAGTAGCTATTAAAAACTAGTATTCACCATTCATTTGTAGCATGCATAGCACACTTCATTGTTTAGAGATATAGAGAATTTTAGAGTTTTTTTTAATTTTATTTGTTTAAAAAATAAGTATAGAGAGTAGATGGCAACTGCTTCCGGGTCCTCGGCCTCTCATGGGTTTCCAAAGCGACTTAGGCCGGGCCTCCCACTCATTGCATGCGGCAAGCGTTGTGATGAGACGAAGATTGTGATGGAGTATCGAGTGAAGGAGGGTCCCAACAAGGGTCGCATTTTCTATAAGTGTCCGGATCGCAATGTGAGTTATTTTGGTCCCAACAAGGGTCGCATTTTCTATAAGTGTCCGGATCGCAATGTGAGTTATTTTATCGTATTTAATGACTATGGTTAGTTTATACCTATTTTCATGATGGTTGTTATTAAAGTTCTAATTTTCTGTTTTAATTTCAGTGGGATGGCACTGGATGTTCAGGATTCTACTGGGAGGAAGAGTATGTTGAACTCGTGCAAAAATATTTTGCACAACAGGCAGATATGGCGGCTAATGAGGCAGTGATCCAGCCGAAGAAGCCCAAAGATGTTAAACAAACGGGGGATCTGTCTGTTTTAGTTGGGATTGGTCGCGAAATTCTTGTGCTGCTGAAGTGCATTTTAGCTTTAGTGTTTTTAGTGGCAGTTGGGATTGTCTATATTGTAGCGAGGATTTCTTAAATTTATAGCTTTTGTGGTGGTATGCATGTTGTATAATTAACTAATTATATTCTAGGTTTTAATACGGTATTTATGTCATGTAATGCAGATGAGTCGGCATCGGATGTACAATGCTGATCGTCGCTCCCAAGAGTTCATGGACGGCATGCATTCTTTGTTACGTGCGGCCGAGGTAAACAAACGCGATGGTTTCATGTGCTGCCCATGTGCCGTATGTAAGAATACGGTGGAATATCCTTGCTCAAGGACTCTTCATTCACACTTGTTCAAGTCGGGTTTCATGCCAAACTATATTTGTTGGACGAATGACGGAGAAACCGACGTTGTAATGGAAGAAGGTGAAGAAGAACAATGGGACGACAATGATATTATTCCCGATGGTGCGTGCTTCAATGATATTGCAATGGGAGAAGCTGAAGAAGAGGTAGCTGCAGAAGATGAGTCTGCTGATGATCTTTGTCAGGTCATTCGTGACACACAAAGAGAATGTGAAAGTGAAAAGGAGAAGATCAAGTTCGAGCGGATGCTAGAAGATCACAAGAAATTGCTGTACCCAACTTGTGATGCAGGGCAAAAAAGTTGGGAACCACACTAGAATTGCTGCAATAGAAGACAAAGAATGGTGTATTTGACAAGGGATTTGAAGAGTTACTAAAAATCCAAAAGAAGATGCTTTCGAAGGACAATGAATTGCCCGTCGCTACCTACGAAGCAAAACAAGTTGTCTGTCCTATGAGGCTAGAAATCGAGAAGATACATGCATGTCCTAATGACTGCATCCTCTACCATGGCAAAGAGTACAAGAAATTGGATGCATGCCCTTTATGCCATGCATCGCAATATAAGATCGGGCAAGATGACCCTGGTGATGTTGAGGGCGAACGTCCGCGGAAGAAAATCCCTGCCAAGGTTATGTGGTATGCTCCTATAATACCACGCTTGAAACGTCTGTTCAGAAACAAAGAACATGCAAAATTGTTGCGATGGCACAAAGAAGACCGTAAGATAGACAATATGTTGAGACACCCTGCTGATGGGTCCCAGTGGAGAGCAATCGACAGAGAATTCCCGGAGTTTGCAAATGACGCAAGAAACTTAAGGTTTGCTTTAAGTACAGATGGTATCAATCCTTTTAGAGAGCAGAACAGTAGTCATAGCACTTGGCCTATTACTCTAAGCATCTACAACCTTCCTCCTTGGTTATGCATGAAGCGGAAGTTCATTATGATGCCTGTGCTCATCCAAGGCCCGAAGCAACCTGGCAATGACATCGATGTGTACCTGAGACCACTTATTGACGAACTTCTCATTTTGTAGAATAAAGAAGGTGTACGTGTGTGGGATGAGTACAAACAGGAACACTTTGATCTGCGAACATTGTTGTTCGTAACAATCAATGATTGTTCTGCTCTAAGTAATCTTTCAGGACAGTCAAACAAGGGATATAATACATGCACACACTGCTTCGGTGATATTAGAGGTGTATTCTTGAAAAAATGTCGAAAGGTCGTGTACCTTGGCCATCGTCGATTTCTTCCTGCAAATCACCCCGTAAGAAAGAAAGGCAAACATTTTAAAGGGAAGGCAGACCACCTGACCAAGCCTCACAACCAAACCGGTGAGGATGTACTCGATATGGTCAATGATGTGAAAGTCGTCTTTGGAAAAGGACATGGCAGCCAACCTGTTCCGAACGACGCTAACGGTCACGCACCCATATGGAAGAAGAAGTCCATATTTTGGGAGCTACCCTATTGGCAAGTCCTAGAGGTCGGCAGCTCGATCGACGTGATGCACCTGACAAAGAATCTTTGTGTGAACCTGCTAGGCTTCATGGGTGTGTATGGAAAGCCTAAGGACACATTTGAAGCACGACAGGACCTGCGTTGTTTGAGAGAAAGAGACAACCTACATCCAGAGAAGACAGATGATGGACGCCATTACTTATGTCCTGCCAGCTACACTCTAAGCAAAGAGGAGAAGGAAATCATGTTTGAATGCTTAAACAACAT